TTTCAGCACTTTTTGGACTCTTCATGAGTGGAAATTTTCTTTCACCAAATTGTGGTGAATATGAAAATGTTAATATTTAGGTATATTAATGTTAATATACATACATAAGTATACAAACGTAAGTATTATTACATATGTATTATGTTTATATTTATTGATTCATAAGACAACGCAATTATATAATATACTCACGGTAACCTGTTTTATTCAGACAGAAAGAAGAAATGAGCTGTGGGCTTTTATGTTTCTACATTTTTTAGTCTATTTCTGTATTATTGTCAATATCAATTTGAGTTTATTTTCACATCATTTCTATTTTTATTAATATGTTTAACCTTCATGTTCTGTTGAAATTTTAAGTTTGAATGTCCCAGAGACCCATATTGTGTAACAATTATAATAGCAATTTTTAAATGAACCTCATTTCCCATTCAAATTACTTTAATATGTTAATCAACACCTACACTCTTAAAAAATAAAGAGGGTTTTCACAGCAATGCCATAGAAGAACCATTTTGGGTTTCTAAAGACTGTTTCAGTGAAGAGTTTTTAATATAACCTTTTTTTGTGAACATTTTAATAATCTGAAGATGGACGTTAAAGGTTCTTCATCTGTTTCTTCAGGACAGAAATGTGATTGGTATTCATTCATCAAGAAAAAAATTAAAAGTAAAATAAATACATAAAGTAAAAACAGGAATCTCTGCATGTGTTCGCCTATCAGAGTATCAATTTTCTCTGGGGGTCTCTGAGAGCCTAAATATAATTAATGTAACACGGAGGACAAAAGGGTTATCAAATTTGTTTATAATTAATTGTGTTTATAATAATTTCTCTTAAGATTAGGAAGTGTCATAAGAATAAACCTGACACTTTATAATCTCCTCAAATCCAAGCAGAACACGAGGGTTAATGACGTTCAATAAATGCACTAACTTCACAGAGCACAGCATCTGCTGCGGCTCCTCTTCAAACGCCAGCAAACAGAAAGGCCTCTTCCTGTCTGTGCTTCTCTAATGGACATTATATTTGGAGCTGGTCACAGAGTATGGCGAGGCACTCGGCAGCTATCTGCGTGGGCAGAATCAGTCATACCTCAGTGCAACGGCTGCCCTATCGATGCCATGTGTGCCGCTCTCCCCCAGAACGCTGCCTGGCACGCGGCTCCCGCTAACTTCTGCGGTGGAGCTACATATAGAAGCCCAAGCTGGTAACACACTCATCACATCGAGCCCACTACCCTTCGGCACAGCCAAATGTTTCCACAGCTGCCCCTTTGTCTCTGCTCCTTGAGTAAACAAAGGACAGATACAAATTAATGACCTAAATTCATAGTAAAAAAGCAAAGAGAGAAAACCATTATGCTCCAACTGTCCGTTCCAACCAGATGTTAGATGCAGATTTGTATGTGAATGTCACAAATCAAATCTCAGCTCTCTTGAGAAAATCAGCGAAAGAGTGCACAATTGTCGAGAAATACAAAACAATAAGGCGCTATTCAGACTTCCTCAATAATACAAGCGGAAATGGATCTTAAGTCCAAAACGAGTTTGAAAACTAAATCTCGCACCAATTAGAAGGAGGTGCCGTGTGTGTGTGTGTGTGGAAGGGGGGCAGGCTTACAGCACGGGACCATCTGTGGCAGTGGCCTGTTGAGTAACGCTCGATGAAGTGGTCAGCCTTTAGTGCATCTGTAGGCCAGGTTTGTCGAACAGCGAGACATTAGATAAAGCTGATTTGTTTGCTGGAAAACTGTACTTGAGGAGCTTTGGAAGCAGCCTGTGTGTGTGATGCAGGGGGAGGGGTTGGTCTTCGTACAAGCTGCTGCACATTTTCCCAGGTCCAACCCACGCCTTTACTGGAGCACCAGCCAGACATTAAAGCAGCATATACACATGAGCCATGTAAGACCGCGTACACTCACGCTCACGCTCACACGCACACACACACCCGGACAGTATACTCAATCCACAGACCTCACGCACTGGAAAACATGTTTCCACCCACACGAGCATCTACAGTAAATAAGATTATTGAACTGAATGCAAAAAACACAAACACCGTCTCACCAATCTGCACATCGTCATTGCTCTGGCAAATCCCGCCAGAAGTTTCTGACAGAAAAATGGCACGGAGAGATTAAGGTTCTTATAATTTATTGCAGTTTGCACACAATTTAAAAATTTCACCAACAGCACACCAAAAGTACAAAACTAAACAGCCTCATAATTTACTTCCCTTGAGAAAATGAAACATACTATGATTGTCAAAGCTAAATTTCTAAATCTATAAAAAGAACAATGTCAACATAGCAAAAAATCTCAGAAGGGAAGCAATTACATGTGAAGTTGAATCTTCTTCTTTTTTTCCCCCATCCAGACAGCGATTGTCCTTGAATTCAACAGATATTTATTATTTTCTTTCCCATACTCATTAGCCACCAAGTTTGAATTTGACAGAGTTGTTCTTCACACTGGGGATCCTGGGTTTCAAGTAAACTAAAGGGGTGTCTAATTTATGGATATGCTTCATAGGCCATTTCACAGCTTCATTTCCATTGAAAAACAAAAACAAAACAAAAAGTCCAAGAAAGACATCCAGTATTCCAGCGACAGTTTCCAGTTTTCACCCTCTGAGTATAATATGATAACAGTAGTTTAAGGCGGTCAAGTACAATAGAAGCCAACAAAAAACATAAAGAAAAAGAAAGCATAGAAAACAAATCAACCCCACAGTTGATGTTTTTTTTCTGTCACAGACATTTTAGAGTGCAAAAGGTAAAATTACCACCGTGCAAAACGCTTGAGGAGCGTGCGCTGTTGGCAAAGCTCAACCTTTTCACTAGCTGTTGCACCAGCCAAATATATGGTAGGACAGTTCCTGAGGCCTGCGTAGGCCCGTGTGCCGCACACTCCTGTCCTGCTCCAAACATGTGCGGAGCCCCCGGCCCTCTCTAACTAAAGTAGTTCAAGCATTTCAGCACTATGTGAGTGACTGATCTACGTCTACAGCGCTAAGCCATATGTTTTTAATTTTTCTTTGCTTTTTATTTCTCTGGATTTGACAATGAAATTGTTTTTTGTGAAACAAACCAACAAACAAACAACAGAATTTTCACATTGTTAAAAGAAATCTTAGCAAATTAAAAGAAAAAATAAAACATTTTCAAAATAAACATTTTTCGAAATCACAAATGCTGCAAAAAGTTAACAATCACAAATTTATAGATCTTTTTTCAGTGTAACAAAGTCCATTCAATTAGGTTATAATTAAGCGTATACATTTCATAAAGGCCTCTTTTGCACATCATTCTAATTTCATTAAGCTTCAAAGGTGCAACCAACCTTGCCAAACACGTTCTAATGACAAAAAAAAAGACTTATGTATTGAACACAAACACACGCACACAAACCACTCAGATCAGAGTGTGTCGAGCTTTATGCTGTTTAAAGATCCTTCAGCTTCTCCAAATAGATGTGCGCTGCTGAGGACACCCATAAAGAAGAGCTGTACCATCAGCCACGCAAATGTGTCTTCATGGCAATCGAATCTGAAGCAAGTGCCAATTGAAGAGATAAATAAATAAATTACAAACAGAGCCGACATGATTCAAATGACAACAGCCAGTAAACAGGACACTGAGACAAACAGCAGTTGAGGACCCAGCACTGGGAAGAGCAGTGCGCAAGGAGATGCTAGCAGGAGCCACGCTAGCCTTCTGAACAATAAACGTAGCGATCCAGCCTCTGCTGACACCTGGCCCCTCATTAACCCCCGAATCCTACAGCGAGCCCGAACCGAATCACGTCGCGTGTGTAGATACTGCAGCCTAACGTCAGTGCATTTCCACAATCTTCACAGCCCAGAAAAAAACACCTCACCAGAACCCCCGATTCATTCTCTAATAAGAGGAAAAAACTCAAATCTACAAAGGAATCAAATGAGTTAATTAAAAAATACACTCTCTGATGCAAAACAACAACGAAAAAGAGTAAGTTAAATAAAATTCATGCAATTTCTACAGCGGTAATATTAAAGGTACTTTTTTTTTCTCAACAGACAGGTGTATATATATATATATATATATATATATATATATATAAATACACACACACATACTCAAACAAGAGGCGAGTGTGCACAGGTAAATATATGACCATAGTACCCGTTTAGTGTGTCCTTAGTTTTAAACTCCTCTGTCTATTACCTGAAATCTTCATATGCTTTTCATGGCAGATGTTCCTTGAAATTTAGGAGCGTATACAAATACTGTAAATTATATACAGTTGAAAATCCCAATGAATCATTTTTCTGTCAAAGTTGGTTACTGAGACCAGCACCCATGTTTTCTAAAAACCCAAGGAGAACAGGAAAAAAGAAAAGAAACCCAAAAGAGACCAGAAAATATATTAAAAGGGCAATACAGCAAGTCACATCTTTTTCAATATACAGGTCAGACATCATGCAACAACAGATTCCGTTTTAAAAATGAAAAATATTAATAAAACACTACAGAAATCTCTAGAAATGCAGCTGATGTAAAAACCAACCTCAGTAGCAAACGAGTGATGTAGAGAGACCGCAACTAAAACGCGAAAATGACTTCAAATCATATTAAGAAAGAAAAAAAAAAATGCGGCAACTGATAAGAAAAAGGAGGCTGTACATTGCATGAGTGCCTTGTTTGTCTTCCATCAGTCAAGTTTCCTATAACGAGTCAAAAATGTACAAGAGCTTAAGTAACGCGAGCTTAGAGCTTCCTCATGGGATTTAAAGGACTGACCTGCTCACACACTACATGTGTACATGTGCGTATGCGCATGAATACACATGCACGCACGGCCACAGTCACACATCAGGTATGTTATCTGCAAATTATAGTAGTGCACTATATATATATATATATATATAATATACAGTTGAAAATCCCAATGAATCATTTTTCTGTCAAAGTTGGTTACTGAGACCAACACCCCTGTTTTTTAAAAACCCAAGGAGAACAGGAAAAAAGAAAAGAAACCCAAAAGAGACCAGAAAATATATTAAAAGGAAATCAGTAGTAACATTTTCATGTGCTAGTAAAGTGCAATTCAACAAGATTTGCAATGTACATACAAGAAAAATGACTGATTCAGACCCTTCGGCCGTCACTCCGCCCCACTCTTACCTTCACCTCTCTGCCCCAACAAAATGCCACTCAGATCTCTCTCATTAATTTAACAAGCAGTTCAAACAGTCTGCTATCAGTTTAGCTTTCATTTCCACAGTTCTTGAGAGCTATCTTCCAGTGCCCAGTCTCTGACCGTGGGTAGATTGAGCGACTCGCTCTTGACCGAGAGCGAGTTGACCAGTTCGCAGTGGAACTTGCGGATGTGTCGGTACAAGTCCCCTGACTGCGTGAAGCGCCGCTCGCACCACTTGCAGGCGTGCGGCTTCTCACGCGTGTGCACGACGGCGTGTCGGCTTAGGTTGTGCGAGTACTGGAAGCTCTTGCCGCAAGTAGTGCATGTGTAGGGCTTCTCGCCCGAGTGCGTCCGCTCGTGACGCTTTAACGTGTACATGCAGGAGAAGGTTTTGCCGCAGATGGAGCAGGTGGGGACATTGACGTCGCCGGCCGGCTTGGACCGTACACCTTCCTGCTCGCGGAAATGCGTGCTGAGGTGGATCTGCAGGATGTGTGGGCTGGGGAAGACCTTGTTGCATAAGGGGCACATGAAGATCTGAGTATGTGGAGCCCCCAGCATGCTGGAGACGTAAGGCAACAGGGAGTTCTCGACCCCCACGGCCTCGTGCGCACGCTCGCTGTCCCCTCCTAAGACGTCTGCGTCGTCGTCGCCTCCTTTGTCGTCCCGCTCCAGCTCGCTGGCCAGCGAGGCCTCACGCAGGGCCGAGAGGTGAGCCTCCAGGCCCAAGCGCCGTTGCGCCACAAGGCTGATGTGAGTCCCATTGGTGCTGGGTGGCTCCTTGACACCGCTGTGCTCCATCTCGTAGTCGCCGCTCACCAGCTCGTCATCGTCCGAGCCCGTGTCCTTTTCCACCTTGACCTGAACCAGGGCACTCTGGAGGCTGTCTGGGGTCACAGAGCTGCAGAAATAAGGGTTGCCAGCCATGGTCTCCCCAGGACCTCCACCCAGACAGGACTTCACAGAGAGGTCAAGCACACAATCGGTGTCAGCGGAGACTCTCCGAGACACAGCCGAGCGACGGGACCGGGAGCCTGTGGAGCTGCTGGGGCTGCCGGCAGGAGATTTGCCAGCGTCGGGGCCGTGTGTTTCCGCCTCCCTGGGGCTAGTGGTGGGAGACGTGGTCCGGTCAGAAGGCAGACGCATCCACATGCTCCCCGGCTCCTGAGGGCTGTCCCGCTTGTTCGCCATGTCCTCGTCGTCACTCTGCAGCAAGTCGGCGGTGGTCGGCCGGCCTGTGCTTCCACCTTCCGAGAAGCTCTCCACCTTGTCCGAGCAGCTGGAAGCGTCCTCCTCCCGCTTGGTGCTGTCGGCCTCGGCCGTGGCCTTCTGCTTGAGCTTCTTCTTACACACTTTGACGATGTCGTACATGTGGAGGTAGCTGGCAGCAGCCAGCACATCCTCCACTGGAAGCGATTTGAACTGGAGCTTTCCTTCATACATGAACTCAAGCAGGAGAGCGAAGGCCGGGGCCGTGACAATGTCACTGTTCAGATGAACAATGTCCCTTTTGTCTAGCTGGTCCTTGTAAAAGAGGTGGAAGTACATGCTGCATGAAGCCAGCACTGCACGATGGGCTCGGAACTGGGCATCACCGACCAGAATAGTGGAGTCACAAAGGAATCCCTGATGCCTCTGCTCGCTCAGACACTGTAGCAAATGTCTGCTGTGGTCTGGAAACTCCATGCTGTCTTCATAACCTGCAAAAGACCACAGATGTTAGTGAGACTCGCTAGAACAACAATTGTTTTGTCTGCAGCTCTGTGTGGAACTTCTCTCTTTTCCCACCCGCTCCGTCCCCTCTCTCTCTCTCTCGCTCCACGCACACATACATACTCTCACACTCTAATTCTCTCTCCCTCCCTCCCTCCACCCCTGTGGGAACACTGGAAAAATTTTCACCACAGTCCTGACATAAAAGGATTACTAAAAAGCACATGCAAAAAGTATAACATCACAGATTATATATTAGGCTAATTGCATTTTCCTCGCTTGGGCACTTTAAAGTACACAGTAGTGCGTTTAATATTACATTTTACACTAACCTTTTAATTAAAAGTTTAAAAGCACGAGACCAGGGAAATTAACGCAAAAATGTAAATGAAAAATATCCCAATTGTAAATTAAATTTAAAGCAATACTGCCGTACGTATCCCATCAGTACCATTCGGGTATAATCAGATGGCGTGATGTAAGGAGCTAAAGTCCTGATTCCACAGATGCCTGCGTGAGAGAATCTTTCCTGTTTTTTCTCGCTGTGCTCCTGGAGCAGTTATTTATAATAACCCACTTTGGCCAGGACACCAACAAGTATAGGTAACAGGCTTACAGGTACACAAACAGCTCACCATCATGGGCACACTGCATAAGTATACAAAGTACCATGATCTCTGAGGTTACGACAACTGAGGTAGCAGAACATCAGCATGACGTGCGTCATCAAAGACGGACAATCTGCAAATAAAATACGCACTAAAATATATATATTATCTTTACAAAATACACATAAACAATTTACAAACTAAAAAAGTTGAAAGTAAAATAAACACAAAAAATTATGAAATCACACCTGTTACCCGCGAAGATCGTTCCCGTCTAAAAAAATGCACCGGCGTCATATTCAAGCAGCGGACTTAAATGAACTCATTTGAATCTTCATTTAAATCTGATTGGGATAGCAAGCCAAAGCCCCCCACCCTACCCCAAACAGCGTTCAGACCTTCATTAATGAGGGGCTTATAGGGGGACAGGGGGATAACAAACCTCTCGCCAGCCCTCTCCTCCCCCTTTTCCCCTCCCCAAATCTTTGGAGAAATGGAACATCCTCCCCAAAGAGGCGGTCCACAGCAGATTTACAATACAATCACTTTAAGTGCCCCGTAGTCCACATCAATCCTAATCCTTAAAATAGCTAAAAATAAAGATTGCAGGACAGCTCACAAGGTAGCAGCGATCAAATTAGGAGACTGGGAGGACAGAGAGGGACGGAGAAGGAGGCTTATGAACATCTGATCCAGCTGACTGAGACCATATGGCAGCTGCTGCCCAGATAAAGAGATTAAGACTAGGAGGAGTGCGATTACAGCTGTCTAGCCAATTCAGGCAGCTCAAATCTGCAAGTTCTAAATTAGTCCTTACAAACAAGAAAAAAAGGAAAGAGTTGAGCAAAAGCCTGACGAAGGGACGTTTTGAAGAACGCGCGATTATATAAAGTTGCAGATTTATTTCGCTAAAAGCATTTCTGCATTTTTGGTCGCTTTAGAAGATTTAGAAGATCTCGTTACTTAAAGAAAAAACAGGTTTTATAAACGCATAAGAGTTTCTAGTTTTAAATCTGTAATACTATAATGAACTACCCTACCAACGCCACTCTATACTGTCACAACAGAGCAACAATTTGTCATTGAGAACGAAGTAACCGAATAGAAGACCTGCAAACAAACAGAATAATCAAACGCTTGCCTGGAAACCTCTTCATGGCAACAAAAAGTGTCACTTGTCCCCCAGCCTGGTTACACTACACCAGCTCGAAATCCTTTACTTCCCATTTCACACACTCTGGCTGATGGCTGATGGCAGACGCGCAAAAAGACTTAATGAGAGTTCCCTATTCAAAACACATCCCTGTTGCCCAGACCCCCCAGTACAGTACCTGCAGTACGCATCAACTTGATTAAGTCCACTGTTGTGGTAGCGCCGGCTGTAACTCCCTTCGCCGAATCAATGAAAGGGTAGAGTCGTGAGAGAAAGAGAGAGAAAATCAAACTGTGAGGGACAGATGCAAAGTGGAGGAGATGTTGGAGGGGAATGCGATGCCTCCTCCTGCACACAGATCCGCACACACACTAACTCCCAGTCTGTGCGTTAGAAGAAAAGACTGGGGGATGGCAGCCTGTCAGCTGCTCTGACATCATGTTCAGATGGAAATGCTACCTCCAGCTGTGCTCCTTTTAGTGCCATATGCTACTCCTCTACACTCTTGCCACCAGCCTCTCCTTTATACAACTTTGTTTCTCTTTCCCCCCTTTAAAATACGGGAGGAAGGGAAGTGTTGTGAGGTGCTTCTGTAGAAAACTAGCCAATTCCCCCCTTTAGTTGTAATCTCTCAGCAAAGAAGAACTTGGAAATGGGTCCGTCTGAAAGCCGACACTTTTTTTCTAACCTAGTTTCCTGCACTGAGAATTTAAATACCCTCAAGTTTTTCCCCCCCCCGCTCTCCTTCCAGTAACCATAAACAAAGGCCAGCACAGCACATTTGCAACTGACAGATCCACGCAGCTGATATTGTTTTCGACTTCTCTATGGTTCACTGGCCGCGCCATTACCGTCATTCATTTTACTAACCCTTTGGACAGAGGAGGGAGGGAAAAAAAAAAGAAATAAGAAACAATGGGAACAATCATACAGGCCTTATAAGTACGGTTCAAACAAAAGCCACTGTATTCCGCATTTGGGCTTACAAACCTCATTACTTCTTAAGTATCCAACTCATATTTCTGTTCATTTTCACAAACTTCTTCAGTGCGAGCCAAACAACAGTTTCCTGTTTACCACCAAATTCAGCAAAACAAAGATACTCAAATATAATCTGAAGGTCTCTCCTGAAAGATGTCACACTCATGACAGAATATTTAGTTTTTTTTAACTCACTGATATTCATGAATATTTTTAAATGCATAAAAAGCCACAAGAATGAAGAGTTTGCTTATCTGTCACATGCATTATACTTGGTCTCAGGGGTTTTTAAGCTAATAAGAGCTTTTCATTCAATATGTACTTGAATGATTAGGCTTGCTTATTACGTGTTTTGGTTTACAAAGCAATTGGTTAACATGAAGGTAAAAGTAAAAAACTAAGCTCACGCTAGCGCATTGTTTTATACCGTGGCATGTCAAAGTGAACTTGTTTTCAAACCTGGGAAGACGTTGTCCTGAAAGACTTATCCAAATGGTGCCAAGTTAGCACCTTCTTCAACTTAAAAGCTACGATACAAAACAACAGACATAAAATAAAACAAACGACGAGTCCACCTAGGTAGGAAATGGTATTATAGCAGGCTACTCCTACACAAACACACACACAGAGCACCGCCGACGGTCTTTATCTGGATCCTGACCCCGTACGTTCAGGAAAAGCTAGCTTGCGTGGCTAACAAATAAAAAGTAAGCGTTCAACCTGCAGTGTTACAGTTTCTCGACAGGCCCCGATGCCACGCGCTCGAGCAACTCATTCTGCGCGTAAAGACCGACAGTCGCGTGAAAAAGATCGTTACTTTTCTCCATAACAATCCAGCCCGTGCCTCCAACCCCCCTTTCATCTCCTTAAAGAGCACCTCGTATCACAGGCACTTACAGACAACCAGGTCCAGCGTCTTCCTGCTTCCTCCGTCTAATCCTCTCAGCGAGAAAAACAACTCGATTGACTTTCAACAGCTTTCCATAACAACCTGCGGTGGCAGGAAAGACGGAGCAGGCGAGCGGAGCGACGAGAGCTGCGGCAGCCAGATGTTTCCGAGCTGTTGCTACTCAACTCTCCTGTAAAGAGGAAGCGCTTGACTGGCAGCGCGCAAGCCAATGGAAGAGGCGAAAAGAAAAGCGAAGGCAAATTGGAAGCTGCCGCTGAGGGGGGAAGAGGGAGGGATGTCTCTTTCTCGGCGTAGGTTGACACCAGGCAACAGTGAGAAAGCAGAAAAAAAAGGCCGAGCGAGCGAGCGGGTTCCTCGAGCAGACTGGCGCAGCGCGCGGATCGAGGGACATTGCGCAATGTTACGTGGGTACTGTAGTCACGGACCGAGCAGCGGTGAAGAACAGGTGCGCTGCGGAGAGATACGGGCACGGGGACAACGAGACGGCCGCTTAAACCTATTCCAAATGAGGAACAGAGGCGCGAGTGTCTGATGTAACTCTAGAATTATTACTACAAAATAAAACGCTTATAATTTACAAATATTTAGCGTACAAAATGGGTCTATAAGCGGATGAAAAAAATACTTGGGTTATTGTAATTAGTTATTTTGTTATTATTCTTGATTATTATTATTATTATTATTATTATTATTATTATTATTATTATTATTATTATTATTATTATTATTATTATTATTGTTATTATTATTATTATTATCATCATCATCATCATCTGAAATGTTACCAAGTTGTTTCCTTTTAGTGGCAGCTTTAATTGGGAGATTATTAATAGTCATTCAAATTTCATACGCGGGCAAGCGACATTAATGCACTATTGAAGTTAAAAGAGTACATTGGCCTATTCTAAAATCTATTTTTTAATTTAATTAAATTCATTTGGGCTAAATTTTAATGCAATGTACCGCAGTGTATATGGTTACCGAAATTTTGTGCTGTCGCTACCACCGTAATATTTTGGGCTATAGCCTACACTACAATTAGCCTAGCCTACAAAAATCTATTTCTTTGGAAAAATAAATATATATATATTTTATAAATATATAAATAAATAAATAAATATAATTAATATAGCCTAATATAATTAATCTAATATAATAAATGCAATCAAATGAATGAATGGATGGAGCATTTGATGAATAATGACCCTAAATAAAAACATTGGTAGCAGGATTTTATAAAGTGTAAAGAAAATACAATAATCTATCATAAGCAATGTGCTGAAGGCTAGATCCCTGTGCTTACATGCCATATATACAGTTTGTGTGTGAGATCGCGGCGTCAACAGGTGAACGTTTGCAATGCTAAGTATGTGCAATGGTCCACAGATGCGCTAAGTTCACTCCGGACGGAGCTTGTGAACACAGTCACGTGTTTGGCATATTTGGCTGCTGAACTCACCCGCCCATCAGCATCCACGCTCCCACACTCATGCGAAATAAATAAATAAATATAATTAATATAGCCTAATATAATTAATCTAATATAATAAATGCAATCAAATGAATGAATGGATGGAGCATTTGATGAATAATGACCCTAAATAAAAACATTGGTAGCAGGATTTTATAAAGTGTAAAGAAAATACAATAATCTATCATAAGCAATGTGCTGAAGGCTAGATCCCTGTGCTTACATGCCATATATACAGTTTGTGTGTGAGATCGTGGCGTCAACAGGTGAACGTTTGCAATGCTAAGTATGTGCAATGGTCCACAGATGCGCTAAGTTCACTCCGGACGGAGCTTGTGAACACAGTCACGTGTTTGGCATATTTGGCTGCTGAACGCACCCGCCCATCAGCATCCACGCTCCAACACTCATGCGTCCCAGTAAACTAATTGGCGTTACTAATACATTTCAAAACAAACCACTGTCGTACTGGTACCGGAATCTTGACATAATAACATTATAATTTAATGCAAATAATGGCCTCATTAAGCTGATGTGGCAAATGAGTCCAGGCATGTGATGTGTTGGTGTTTTCCATGTCGTCACCCAACAATACTCCTTCTGTACAAGAGTTATCATTCACAACAGGTCACATCAATTATAATGAAATATAAATCAAATCGAATGTTATGTTTCCAAGTTTTCATGACTTAGCTTTTCATTACTCTAAGGTTGTATATTAATAAAACACAAGTGTCATTTAATTTGAATGCACAGATATTTTATTCAGTCTTTAGGCAATATACTAATATTTCAATAATATTATTTTAATATTATAATAATATTTCACTCTTTATTAAGCAATAATAGACAATCCCCAAACTGTTTTCATGCAAAAACTGTGTGTTTCACATAGTTGCAACTATCAGCATAACTGCTGTTAGTTCTCTGCTCCAGATAATCAACAGGCCTTTTTGATCCCAAATGTTTTTTGGAGATGACAGTCCCTGTGCCATCAGAAAAGCACGGCTGATGTTTGAAATGATATTTACTGGAGTT